ATTAATTTTCACTGGGAAAACCTCACACTTTTTGTATTTTAGATGAATGGCATGTTCTCAGACCGGCACAATCGTAATTTATTTTTTCCTACAATTCGAAAACAGACAAGTCATTGACCTCCGGGGGTTTTTTTTGGGACCCCAGGTTCACGTGTGGCGATCTATTAATAAAAGGGGTTTTGAAAGGAACCCTTAAACCAAATTTTCTTCCAGAGGCCTGGTGTTTGCAGGGTAAAATTTCCGTCAAGGCAGGGTAAACCCGGTCCCCCGGTAAACCGCCGGGTTTTCCAGAAGAAAGACATAATGCAAGGTGAAAGGTTCCGTTTTGAAACGAACCCAAGCGGAGCGGACTTTCCCTACCGCTGTGCCGAATGGAGGAAAGGACCCCAAAGGAGAGAGAGAGAGAGCGATCCTTTATTTTGTTTTTCTTCTTGGGAGTGCAGCGCTACCACTGTATGTTCCCGTTTTGTATACCTACACTAGTTGTGACAGCTCTCTACAAAGACACTACACAACTGAGAATAGACTCCCAACGAATGTCCACATTCACCATTCATCATTCACACCAAAAGGACAAATTCCAGAATCACATATACATATACATATACATATACATCTGCACTTGCACTTGCACTTGCACTTGCATCTACACCTGCATCTGAACTAAACTCCTCCCTCCCATTCCATTCCATCCACCAATCCTCAACTCAACTCAACAACAGCCAACATACAGCCAAACACATCTCAACAACAACAACAACCCAACCCTTCCGCTCATCACACAGCACGTCTCACATGCGTTCCACCGACCCATCCCATCCCATCCCATCACAACCTCTAACAACCTAAACTTCACAATTCGGTTTTAATGCCACAATACAATCTCTTCCTTTTATCAAGCACATCCTTTTTATTCTCTCTTTTTTGATACTTAGAACCTTTTTGGTTTTAGCTTTACCCTTTGGTTTATAAAGCAAACGCTTTTTCTACCCAAGACGTATCTTATCTTATCTTATCTTATCCAGTCTAGTCTAGTCTAGTCTAGTCTACAGTTCTATCCTCTCTCTCCCTCTCATTTGCCTACTCTTGTTTCATTCATACCTTCACATACAAGCAAGTACCTTTATTCACAAACTGTGACAACCTTCCCGCATCCACGTTTGTATAAAGTATATATATACACACATTTTGCTAACTAAATACAAGAACCCAATCCCAATACAATCACACACTCATATTCTCATAACTACATTGCCAAAAGGCCCAAACTGAGGAAAAAAATAATTGATCATTCAGCGTTATTTTAATTCTAATTCTAACTTTACCTCATCGTATCATTCCACTGGATACCTTTCAATTAAACTAAGTTTTTTTTTAAAAATAAATAAATAAAGAAGATATATACTAATATATATCCTTTAGGTTCACACTCTTCAATAGATCAAGGTAATGGAAATACCTTCTCTACAATCTACAATCAATTTCAATCTTTCAAGACCTTTAGACTTTTGATTTATCCTTTTTGACTAGATCTCACGACCCAACTCACCCTGGCCTAATCATCACATTTAAGGGACTCACTCACATCCACTCATCCCATCCTTCCATTTAGACCTTATTCTCTTTTTTTTTTTTTTTTTACCTTTGGGTTTCCTCGTTTGGACTTATTCAATTCACAGATGAGTTTAAATAACAATATCACTATCAATGATAACAATATAAATGATAACGTCGACAACAGCAACGGTAACAACAACGAAATCCCTTCAGATGACTACCCTGTAACACAGAAATTAATAGAAAAATACTATGAAATGATCTTGGGTTGCCCTAAAATTAGACATCATGAATTGGTATTCCCTTCAGAATTCGCCGCCCAGAATTCAAACAACATGGCAATCACAACAACCATCCTACGTAAATGCAACCGTTACGTATCAAAATGTTGGTCACTAATGTATAACGTTCTAATTGGTGATTATGAAAAGAATTTGCTGGTTCAAAAACTTTTATCTGAAAAAAAACATGCAATGTCCTACAACGAATGGAAAATTGCTTGCACCCAACTAGATACTCTGACAAACAACAACAATTGGAAAGAAATCGAAGAATCTTCTTACTACGATTATAAACTCATTAAACAGGTTACTTCGAAATTACGCCATGCAAGATTAAACAAAGACTTCCCACAACTAGTCTATCTAATTAGAACTAACTGGGTCAGAAATTTAGGTAATATGGGTAATGTAAACCTTTACAGATACTCCCACGTAGGAACAAAATACCTGATAGATGATTATATGAACGAATCAAGATTATGTATCGAAGCTTTATTACATCAATCAGAATTAGATGATACTTATCTATTAGGGATGCTACAACAGACAAGAAGAAATATAGGAAGAACTGCTTTAGTCTTAAGCGGTGGTGGGACATTCGGTTTATTCCATATCGGTGTATTATCAACTCTATCAGAATTAGATATTTTACCAAGGGTAATTAGTGGTAGTAGTGCTGGTGCAATCGTAGCAAGTATATTGTCCGTTTATCATAAAGATGAATTACCTGAATTGTTTGAACGTGTACTAGGTACCGATTTCAATATCTTCAAAGATGACAGTTTGAAAAGTGAAAGTGAAAATTTCTTAATCAAATTCTCAAGATTCTTCAAAAATGGTACTTGGTTCGATAATAAACATTTAGGAAGAACTATGATAGAATTCTTAAGCGACCTTACTTTCAGAGAAGCTTACAATAGAACAGGAAAAATTTTAAATATCACCGTCTCCCCAGCTTCGTTATTCGAACAACCAAGATTGTTAAATAATTTAACAGCTCCAAACGTTTTGATTTGGTCCGCCGTTTGTGCTTCTTGTTCTTTACCTGGTATATTCCCTTCAAGCCCATTGTATGAAAAGGACCCTAAAACTGGTGAAACAAGAGAATGGATCGGTAGTAGTTCTGTCAAATTTGTAGATGGTTCGGTAGATAATGACTTGCCAATTTCAAGATTATCGGAAATGTTTAATGTTGATCATATTATTGCATGCCAAGTCAATATTCATGTTTTCCCAATTTTAAAATTATCTTTGTCATGTGTTGGTGGTGATATCGAAGACGAACTGAGCGCTAAAATCAAACAAGGTTTAACAAATGTTTATAATTATATGGCTAATGAAGCTATGCATTTCCTTGAACTAGGCTGTGAGGTAGGTTTGGCTAAAAATGCTCTAACAAAAATGAGATCTGTTCTATCTCAACAGTATTCAGGAGATATTACTATCTTACCAGATTTGAACATGTTATGCAGAATCAATAAATTGTTAAGTAACCCTTCCACAGAGTTTATACTGAGAGAAACAACAAATGGTGCCAGAGCCACCTGGCCTAAAATATCTATAATTCAAAACCATTGTGGCCAAGAATTCGCACTAGAAAGAGCAATTTCATTTTTAAAAGGTAGAATCCTAATGTCTTCAACCATCAAAAATCCAATACAATTTGCTGATATTCCCGTGGGACTAGTGAAGTATGCTATTGACAAATTAGAGGGCGATCAAGAAGATAAAATATCTAAAACCTTAGATGATAACTTATTAGAAACTGAATCTACTAATTCATTATTGCTATTACGTGAAAATTCAAGTGCTAAGCGTAGATTCTCTTCTGTTAAATCGTTAAGACCTGCTACTAACATACTATTGCAAAGAAGAAAATCTGACACTTTACCACGTTCGAGATTATATCCTAATTCTGTTTCTTTTGTGGAAGCGTATCCTAACTCGAAGTGGAATCGTGAGAATAATAAAGCAACCCACTACAGACCTCATATTTATCACAGAAGAAGTACAGAACACCTGTCATCTTGGAGGCACAAGCATTCACCATATAAAGATAATAAACCATATTCCCAACGTAGTATTTCTCCTAATTTAAGACGAGGAACCAGCCAGATAACAACCTCACCTGCATATTTTGGAGGTTTTGAAGGCAACCTTCCATTTACTAATCCTACTACAAGATCAAAAGTTAAAATCAGATCTTCTGCTCAGAGGAAAGGAGGAAGGAAGGGGAAGAAAATATTCTTTACAGAATCAGATAATGAAGAAATGATTTCACAAAAGAGCTCACCATCTGAAGATTCTCAAGAATCATTTGCTATAGACAATGGAAATGATGACAAAGATATACATCCTCAGTTACAATCAGAAAGTGGTGACAGTTCAAATGTAATAATAAATGAAAATGCCATATATGATTCTGTAGAACAGGATAACCCAGAAGGAAAAATTGAATATCTCGGTGACGTAGTATCAAATCAAGATTCAATTTAAGGTTCATATGTGTTCTTAATTAACGTTATACAAATTTACCCAAATACATACAGTATTACATAATTAATTAAATAGGAAATTTTTCGTTTATTATTGTTTTCTATTCTATAATGCAAGTGTAATTATGTATACATATAAATATATGTAACGAAGTAATATTAATTATGATTTATATTTATAAGAATTAATGCCAAATTTTGTCCAAGATTCCATTTCGTAAACGCATTCAATGTTTTCAACTAAATTCTGTAATTTTAATGATCCAACTGTGATATGAGATATTGAAGGACATCCATTGATCTTTAATTGCTCCAGAGGTACTTCTCTAAATGATTTCAAGGTTTTAACAAATTCATAAAGAGAAACTCCTGTAAGAACTGGATTAAAAGAAAAGTCACATCTAGATAGCTTTTCAAGATATATGAGGTTATCAATTAAAAGTTGAAAAGAATTATCATCAAATGAGCCCATATTTGGAAGCTTTAATTCTTCTAATCCAGATAATAATAGGGAGCAATGCGGTACTGATAAAATAGATGGATTTGTTAACAATGAATCCCTTCCAAATCTGATATAGGGACAGTTGCCAATATTTAATCTTTTCAAGGAACCTATTTCAATGGTTGATATTATGTCTAATAGACCAGCTCCTGATATCGACGTTCCCATAAGATCTAAATCTACGATATTTCTAAAATTTGAATAATAGTTTTCCCTCACATTAGTTATATGGGTCATCTCACTCATTGTACAGTCTCTGAATGTCAATTTTTTTAAATTCCCTGAAAACTGTATCGAATTGAATACATCCAAAAAACATAGTAGCTTACTATTCTTATTATTTTCAAACCATATCTCTTGAAGACTGTCAAAGGAGGTTAGCCAAGAAAATTGGTTGGGTGTGTCTTCCAAAGTCACACCCGTTATACACAATTTAACCATATTTTTTGGTATTGCGTTGTAGAATAATGAAAACAGTGGAAACGTAGTTACTTTATTCTGATCACAAATTAACTTTAAAGTCTGTAAATTATCACAAACGCCATCTACCATAAGTGAAGTCATATTCAGATCTAAAGGTCGACTAACTGGCACTACAGAATTAGCTACAATAAATTCAACTCTTTTCAAATTCTTGCATAATATGACAATTTCTTCTTCATATTTCTTATCCATCCTATGTGATATAACCAATGACAGTTCTTTGAGATTATGACAAAGTTGACTATTTTTTGATAATTGATTATATAGCTGACCTGTAGTGGAATTTGGGATGGTCAAAATAAGACTCGTGCATGTAATTGGATTTTTATTTTGTAATAAAGCTGTTAAGGATTTCACTTCTTCGGAGGCAGTCTGAGAGGAGAACCTTAATAGATCAAAGTGAAATGAATTTTTTTTAGTTGGGTGGAATGATTTTAATTTACATATAAATCTCAGAAATTTTGATATTTTACTGGATGTTCCAGATGTCAGGAATAACTTTTGAAAAATTTCTGGATTTGATAGTATTTTTAAATTCCAAGATTTTGAGACTTCAGTAAATTTTATAATCTCCTTAGTGGAAAACGTTGAAAAAATAAAAGGAATAACTTCAGAAGGTAACTCTGAAATAAAATCCACAGTTATATAATCAGAGTCTTCTTTATCTTCAATCTCAATTACAGTTAAATCACTCTCGCTTGAAGATTTCAATTTAAGTCTTTTCGATAGCTGTTTCCTTTCTTCTACCGGATCAATGAGTTGTCTCTTTTGACTAGTGTCACTGTTTGGTAAAGATTGATTATTTATTCTTTTTTTAACGATATCTCTTTGTTGTTTTATAATATCTCTAAATTTTTCAGGTACTACAATGTCAAATTTCTGTAGCATTTCCCTTGACATCAACAGTCCCTTTTTATAACATTTATAAGCTTCCGGGTCCTTCCCTTGTCGTTGCAATACCTTCCCCATCCTAATATAACCTTTCATATTATATGGCTCAATATGAATCATCCTTGAAGATGATTCATAAGCTTTATCCAACTCTTGCAATTTTTCATAAGTAGCACTCAAATTATCATAAAGCTTAACAAGTTTAGGATGATAAATTTTATCACTATTATGCAAAGAACCCCCGGATAATCCCATAGACTCCCTCAACTCCACTAAATCATCCTTATTATAACTATATCCTAACTTAATAGCTTTCTTAAACAAATCTTTGGCCTTCTCATAACTACCACTCTTAAAATAAGTAGTACCCAACTCAATCGCTTTATCAATCACTGAATCAGAACCCATAGACAACTCCAAAAACAAACAAAAATATCATCAATATAACATATAGCACCAATTTACTCAACTAGATAGATTGATAATACCCTTCCTAATCCTATCTATATCAACTTCTTTGCTCAAGTATCATAAGCTTTAAAATGCTTTAATTTTCAATGCTATTCTAAACTATGACATCATACCTGCTTCTAATAAGCATCTTCGAAATAGATGATAATATTTAAAACTACATAATACAATGAAGTTAATGTTGGTGATAGTAATGTTTTAAGATTGGATTGTATATGAGTGAATGCATCAATAAGTCAATTGGTAGTTTCTCTGTTTGCTAGTTTAGGTTTTAAGATGGCAGTTGGTCTTGGTATAATTTTATTTTTAGCCTTTGGGTTACTAATTGCTACTTTTAGTATTGGTATAATACCTTTATATTGGATGAACAAGAATATAAATGGTAACGATGCTAATAAGTATATTGGTATATTATCTCAGTTTGGTATTGGTATGCTGTTAGGTACTTCTTTTATGTTAGTGATTCCCGAGGGTGTGAAATCTTGTGTTGAACACGATGGTAATGTTGGTTTGAACCTGTTGTTAGGTTTTTTAATTGTTTATTTATTGGATAGAGGTGTTCACATATTGATGAGAAGTCCTAACAATTTTAACTTTTTGACTGAGGATGCTTCTCTCAGGATCAATTCTGTAAGAGATTTGATTAGAAATCCAAAAGTTCCATTTATCTCGATCTTAAAGAACAACGTTGTATTTGCTCTATTTATCCATGGATTATCTGATGGTATTGCATTGGGTACTACTTCCAACAACGAGTCTCTACTGATTGTAGTATTGATAGCAATTGTTATCCACAAGATTCCTGCTGTACTTTCGTTAACAAGTTTAATGATTTCAAGACAAAGATTACCTGAATGGGAAGTAATCTCAAATTTATTTGCATTCTCTTTATCGACACCATTAGGCTACATCCTAGTATCACTATTCAATTTGAAACACTCAGACACTATGGATTGGGTGGGTGGAAATTTATTGTTGATGAGTGGTGGTAGTTTATTATATGCGTCGTTTACTGCCTTTGTTGGAGGTGACAGCCACGATCATCACGTGGAGATTCCAAGCGATGAACCATTATCATCCATGCATATGGAGGATAGTAGTGCAGAAAGATTAGATTCGATGTCACAAGGAGATGAAGAAGAAGGAGTTATAAACAAATCTTTACCAATAATTGTAGAATCTGGTTCACAATACGAAGACAACAACAGCTCCACACAATTACCACATGACGAATCAGTGTACATTCTTCTAGGTGTTATAATCCCGGTCATCGTGTCATTTCTGATAAGTGAAGACTGATACAAAAACATGACTAGACATTCAATATCACAGCCATCTCACAACTCAATTCCCAAGAACCATTGATTGAATGACCGTATGTATATATACAAAGGGAGCTGTAAGGGACTATCGAATTGAAGAAATCTTAAATTGTACCAGAACTTACCTACATTGGTACTACAAAAACAAAAGTAAAGACAAGTAAGGAGAGGGAGATGTATTCCAAACCTAGATGATAAATGGATTAATCAACCATGAAATATGTAATTGCGTGATAATAGTTTTATAGTTAGGTATGGGGTTCGTTATGATGTAAATATATACATGAATATATATTATGCTTTATTATAATACACAACGTATAAAACGACAAATTCTTATATAGTGATAAAAATTTTTCACTCAATTTCGAAATGGAAATTTCGATGAGATGAGATGAGATGAGATGAGGAAAGCAAATAAGAAGTAGTATAACTTCTTATAGTTTGAAAACGAGAAGGATATATTAGAAGTGTATTTGTTGATTAAATTTTTACAACTAAGAGAGTATTGTCCTTTGGGAATTTCCACGAGTGCTATATTTTTTTGTGTGTTGTTATTTGAAACAAGGAAGACAAAAAAAAATTTATAGATCAGATCTAACGCTTGATTCGACTTGGGAAATTTGCTAGAGAAGCTATTTTGAATCAAGATGGCACCTCAAGGCAAAAGAAAGAGAGATGATGGTGAGTCCCCTCTTTCGAGAGAGGATAAAACTGTTCAGCCTGCTGCATCATCTCTAGATAGAAATGCAGATGAAGTTTCATTTCCAAGAGGTGGTGCTTCCGCTCTGACTCCATTGGAATTGAAACAAGTCGCTAATGAAGCTGCTAATGATGTTTTGTTTGCCAATGAATCATCCAAAAAGAAAGCTGAAAATTCTGCTGAGACTGGTACTTCAGACCAACGCAAGAGCAAGAAGAAGAAGGTCACCAAGAAAACTGATGACGATAATGAAGATTCTGAGGAAGACATTGACGTCACTTCTGTAATTGTGAGCCATATTAATTTTAAAAATTTGAAAGTTGGTTCTCAACTATTAGGTCAAATTAAATACATTACAAAGGAAGATATATGTGTTACTTTTGCGGATAACATCTCAGGTTACGTTCCTTTGACAAGCATCTCTGACCAATTCACAGATATATTAGAACAATTAGACGAATCTATGAGTGACAGTAGTTCAGATGAAGAAGGAGAAGATGAAGAAGAATATGAATCTTCTGATGATGTATCAAGTGATAAGAAACCATTGGCCAAGAAGGAAGTCCCAAATTTGAGAAATTATTTCAAAATTGGTCAATGGTTAAGATGTTCTGTTTCAGCTAATACAGCTTTAGAAACTCAATCGAAGAAGAACAAGAAAAAGAAGATTTTATTATCTATCGAGCCATCAGTTGTCAATATTTTAACCGAAGAAGACTTAAATAAATCTACTACTGTTCAATGTTCTGTGAAGAGTATCGAAGATCATGGTGCTGCTTTAGATCTAGGTATTGAAGGCATAACTGGTTTTATTTCCAAAAAAGATTATCTAAATTTTGACGAGTTAAAACCTGGGTTCGTTTTCTTGGGTAACATTGCTAAGAAATCAGGTAGATCTGTAGTGGTGAACTTGAACTTTTCACCAAAGAACAAAGTTAGTCAAATCTCATCAATCGATGCCGTTATCCCTGGTCAATCTGTTGATTTATTATGCGAATCTGTTCAACCAACTGGTATAACAGGTAAAGTTTATGGTTTAGTTCCAGGTTTTATTAGTAACGTTCACTTGCATACATTTGATAGAGAAGAAATTAAGCATAAATATGCCATCGGTTCTAACGTCCAAGGTAGAATATTGGCATCATTAAACAACAAGAACGGTGATAAAGTACTAATAATCTCAACTTTACCTCACATCACATCATTGGAAAACAAATTACATGAAATAGAGAATTTGGAAGCTTTCCCATTCGGTTACACATTTGATTCTGCATCTATAAAAGGTCGTGACTCAGAATACTTATATTTAGCACTTGATGAAGATAGAATTGGTGAAGTGCACCATTCAAAAATAGGTAATGCCTTTGAATCAGAGAAAATAAGCGCTAGAGTTTTAGGTTATAACAGTATTGATAACGTATTCCAATTATCCACAGATCCAGAAACTTTGAAATTAAAGTACGTTAGAGCTGCCGATATTAAAATCGGTGAATTATTGACCGGTTGCGAAATTGTTTCTGTTTCATCAAAGGGTATCCAACTTAAAATATTTAACAACCAATTCAGTGCATTTGTTCCTCCAATACATATCTCTGATACAAGATTAGTCTACCCAGAAAGAAAATTCAAGATCGGTTCTAAAATTAAAGGTAGAGTTTTAAGTGTTGACTTCAGAGGTCATATTCTTGTCACACTAAAGAAAACATTAGTTAACGCTGAAGAAAACGAAACTCCGTTACTTGATTCTTACAAAGCTGCTCAAACCATCAAGGATTCTAATTCTAAAACAACTGCTACAGTCCAATATTTCAAACCAAATGGTTGTGTAGTATCATTTTTCGGTGGTATAAGTGGGTTTTTACCAAACACTGAAATCTCAGAGGCTTTTGTTAAGAGACCAGAAGAACATTTGAGACTAGGACAAACTATTTTGGTCAAATTATTGCAAGTAGAAAAGGAAAGATCAAGAATCATTGTTACTTGTAAGGTTTCCAATGATAAGGCTGATTCGCAAAAAGAAACCATTGAAAAGTTGATTCCAGGCAAAAGCTTTGTCGAAGCAAGTGTTATAGAAAAAACCAAAGATTCTTTGGTAGTCGAAATGGAAAAAACTGGTTTACGTGGTGTTGTTTACGTCGGCCATTTATCTGATTTGAGGATTGAACAGAATAGAGCTGAAATCAAAAAGGTTAGAATTGGTTCTAAATTAAATGGTCTTGTTATCGATAAGGATACAAGAACGTATATTTTCAATATGACTTTAAAGGAATCTTTAATCAAAGATGCCAAAGAAGGTAAGCTACCAACATCCTATTCTGAAGTCAAAACTTTAGATAAATCTACTCCATTACATGGGTATGTCAAATCTGTTTCTGATAAGGGTATTTTTGTAGCCTTCAATGGTAAATTTGTTGGTTTAGTTCTTCCAAGTTATGCTGTTGAGAACAGAGAAATTGATTTCAAGAAGTCATTTTATATGAACCAATCTGTTACTGCTTATATCTTAAGAACCGATGATGAGCAAGAAAGATTCTTATTAACTTTGAAAGAACCTAAGACCAAAGAGAAAAAGAAAACTTCAACTGATACTGCTGCTATCAACCCAATAGATTCTTCTATTAAAGATTTATCTGATTTCAGAGTTGGAAGTATTGTAGAAGGTAAGATTAAAGGTGTTAAAAAGAACCAACTAAATATCATTTTAGCTGACAATTTACATGGTAGGGTTGACATTGCAGAGGTCTTTGACAATTTTGCCGATATTAAGGATAAACAACAACCATTATCTAATTTCAAGTCTGGTGATTTGATTAAAGTTAAAATTCTTGGTCATCATGATGTCAAGAGCTATAAGTTTTTACCAATTTCTCATTCCAATTTGAAAAACAGTGTTCTGGAATTATCTATTAAACCATCTGAATTGAAATCATCAAAGATAAATATTCCATCAATCGATGAAGTTAAAATTGACTCAGAATTGACTGGTTTTATTAATAATTTTGCTAAAGACTGTGTTTGGTTAACAGTTTCTCCAATTTTAAAGGCAAAATTACCTTTATTCGAATTGTCAGATGATGGCTCAAGATTTTCAGCGATTGAAGACAGCTTCCCTCTTGGTACTGCATTGAGAGTGCATGTCACTTCTGTTGACAAAACTCATAATTTTGTCACTGTTTCGAATAGATCTAAATCTGTTAAAAGTATCGATGATGTTAATGTTGATGACATTTTACCAGCACGCATAATTAAGGTAAATGATAATTATGTATTGTTAGATTTAGGTCACAAGATTACGGGTATTTCCTTCATTACTGATGCTCTAAATGACTTCTCTTCATCATTACATGATGAATATGACGATAAGTTAAATGAAATGGTTTCAGCAAAGGTTATTTCCATCGATCGTGAAACCAAAAAAATCAACTTATCTCTTCAAAATGAAAAAGCTTCTAACATGAAATTGAAATCACATGAAGATTTGAAACAAAAAGATGTGGTTAAGGCTATTATTAAAAACGTTACTGAAAAGGGTATCTTTGTTTATTTAAGCAGTGCTTTGGAAGCGTTTGTACCAGTTAGTAAGCTGTCTGATTCTTACTTGAAGGACTGGAAAAAGTTTTACAAACCAATGCAATCTGTTATTGGTAAGGTTATCAGTTGTGATGATAATTCTCATATATTGTTGACTTTAAGAGAATCTGAAGTCAACGGTGAATTGAAGGTATTAAAAGGGTATTCTGATATTAAGGTTGGTGATATTTTCAATGGTAATATCAAAAATGTTACCGATTTTGGTGTATTCGTGAAATTGGATAATACTGTTAACGTTAGTGGTTTGGCTCACAGAACTGAAATAGCTGACACTGTGCCAGAAAACTTATCTAGTATTTTTGGTGTTGGTGACAGAGTTAAAGCCATTGTTTTGAAGACTAACCCTGAAAAGCAACAAATATCTTTAGGTCTAAAGGCCTCATACTTCACTAGTGCTAAGTCCAAGGAAAATTCTGATTCCGATTTGGAAAGTGATGAGGATGAAGTAATGGCTGATGTCAATTATAATGAAGAATCCGAAGATGAAGCTGAAATTGACGATGAAGAACCAAAGTCCTCAAAGACTCCAATGACAACTGACGGTTTAAGTTTGAGTGCCGGTTTTGATTGGACCGCTAACATTTTGAACCAAGCTCAATCCGATGATGATCTAGAAGATGAAATGGAAGATTTTACTGAGGTTAAAAGATCTAAACATAAGAGATCAAAGACGAAGATCATCGAGGACAAAACAATTGACATCAATGCCAGAGCTCCTGAATCTGTTAGTGATTTTGAACGTTTAATTGTTGGTAATCCAAACTCATCTGTCATTTGGATGAATTATATGGCTTTTCGTTTGCAATTAAGTGAAATCGATAAGGCCAGAGAAATTGCTGAACGTGCGTTGAAGACTATTAATTTCAGAGAAGAGAATGAAAAATTAAATATATGGATTGCAATGTTAAACTTGGAAAACACATTTGGTACTGAAGAAACTTTAGAGGACGTTTTCAAGAGATCATGTCAATATATGGATTCTTTCACTATGCACAATAAATTGTTGAGTATATATCAAATGAGTGAAAAACTAGATAAAGCAGCTGAACTTTTCAAAGCCACATCAAAGAAATTTGGTTCTGAAAAGGTGAGTGTTTGGGTATCATGGGGTGAATTTTTAATTAACAACAAACAAGCCCAAGAAGCTCGTTCTGTTTTAGCCAGTGCTCTGAAATCTTTGCCAAAACGTAACCACGTCGAACTTGTAAGGAAGTTTGCCCAACTAGAATTTGCTAAAGGTGATCCTGAAAGAGGTCGTTCATTATTTGAAGGTTTAATTGCTGATGCTCCAAAGAGAATTGATATCTGGAATGTTTACATTGACCAAGAAATCAAGATCGGTGAAAAGAAGAAAGCTGAAGACTTGTTTGAACGTGTTATCAACAGAAAGATTACTAGAAAACAAGCCAAGTTCTTCTTTAATAAATGGTTACAATTCGAAGAATCTCAAAATGATGAAAAGACAGTCTCTTACGTCAAGGCAAAGGCAACTGAATTTGCTGAAAATAACCCTAAGGCATCACAAACTGATTAGATTACTAGTTAGACTTTGTACATATAGTCATTATATTAGTTGTATATTAATTTTATCATACGTTTTATTATAAATTACCATTATTTATAGTCCGTATATCTTGAATTCGAAAGTGATAGTTAAATACCGATATTTGACACAAACTTATCTATAAGAGACCATTCATTATAATATCAACTTAACTATATTAATATTACTCAAGTAGATCCGTTAGATCAATAGCTATATTTGTTCAAGCTAAACAGTCATAAATTATTTTTATTCATGCTATGAATATTTATCAAACTATTTCAAGTGTCAAGAGAGATCTCAATATAGTATTTACTAAATTTAAAACACGGTTCAGAGTTAATGTCATTGTTGCAATATTAACAGTAATTCTTTTTATTATTATTTTTATTATTATATCAGTACAATCAAACCATATTGATGATCAAATAACAATACAAGAGGTGGTAAAGTATCTCATCTCTGATTTTGATATACTCAGATATGATAAAAATATCAGCCTACCTGGGAATATCACAAGAGAACAAACCCCTAATGATTTTAAAATAAAAGCTCTCACAAATATCATCAAGGAGAAGTTAAAAAAGGATGTATATAAAGGGTTCAAGGCCTGTTTAGAAAAGGAAACCATCCATTACTCTGGGTTCAACTCAATACAGACGCTGACATTTTTTTGCATCATTAACAATGAGAATTATAAAGGTAATAAAAAATTGTTACCAATAATTCATAGATATTTTATCTCGGAACAAAATATCAATTTAATGATTATTATTTTAAGTCTAACGGTTTTTAGAGAACAACTGACCTCACTATTTTATTTTGATCAACCAACTTTGCCTTTTGAGTCTAAAATTCAAGAAAAGCCTACTTCAACTCCAGCATATAAAATGAAAGAAACTGAATATCCACCAACAGTATTCACTGATTTAAAAATCCATAAAACTGAGAGAATTCAAGAAAATGTTTCTGTTTTGTATGATTCTACTGAGACTATCAATGATGTCACATCTGATAGCACTGCTCGATTAATTGACGATATGTATGATAATAATAGTGATGAGGACAACGAATTACCTAGCAAGCCAGAAAACAACAGAGAATTTAAGCTCAAAAAATTAAATTTAATAAGGAAACATTTGAAAATATTTGATATAGGTTCCACTGCAAAGAAGAATCCTTCAAAATTGAATTCAGTAGTCTTAGCCAGAGCCAATAAATTTAGAAGTCGTTTTACATCAAGACATAGTACTTCTGAATTTGTCAAACGTAGAGTTGAGAGTATTCTTGAAAGAGAACAGAATGTACTACAAAAAGGAGGTATAAAGGATTGTGATAGCATAAGAAGTTTTATCGATTTACATGATTACAATAATCAGCAGAACTCTCTAGTGATCAGTAATAAAAAATCGGACAGCAGCAACGATGTTGTCACCGATAGCGTCACTAATTTGACAAAACAGAATAGTGAAAGCGAAAACTCATCAATTTCAAGTTTTGAAATGTTATCAGATTCTAAAAGCTTAAGACATTTGAAGATAGGTCCTGATACTTTACAATTAGACTTCAATTTGACAGCTGCTGAGGAAAGAAATCGGTGGGCGTCATATATCAAAAATTTAGAGGAATCCAACGATACATCTTATGAAAATTTATCTAAAAACCAAGAGTTTAATAAACAGCTCTTTCAGATATATAGAGATAGAATAAAGCTCTATGACGTAGGTGGAAAACCTTTGCGACGGGTTATGATCCCAGGAATAGGCTGGGTTTCACATTATAAGGCCCAGGAACTAATGGGAGGACCTTCAAAATAATTTATAAAGCTGATTATTTGCTTAATTATTTACAGTTTATTATTATTTTTATCATATTTATAAAACTATTCAATCATTAAAAGAGTACATCGAAATTCAAAAAAACGATTGAATCCGAATCTCTAAACTATCGACAAGAAGTTATAGGTTATAGGCGAGTACCTTGAATGCATGTTAAATATCGTTCATCAATCATTATCTTGATATACATCAATGAAATCCATATAAATATCTGGTTTGAAAGGCCATTTGTAAAAAATATCAGTAAGATATATGAATTCTTCATTTGTCAACTCAGCAGGAAATTTGTCAAAGATGGATATATCCTTTACATTAGCGGCAAAATAATCCCTTGCCCCATGTCCCAGGGATTCCAAAGCTTCTGATAGTTTTCTCGTTTTAAGAATCATCAGGTGCTTTGTAACGTAATCCCAATACTCTAGCTGTATATCATTTTTCTTTGGATTAACTTCTAGTAAGGAGATGGAATCTAAGACGATTGGAGCTGTATCTGCATTTTTTATTTCCAGTGGGTTATGTCTTTTTAGTAAATCTTGATTAAATTTTTGAACTTCTTTCCCTTCTGTATATGCGATAAGTTTAGTATCAGTAAATGCTTCTGTGCAAATGGAACATTTCGATCTCCCAACTTTCCCAGGAACAGCTAGAAGCTTAACAGCTGTTGCTGTAGGTAACCAAACCAACATTTTAACACGGCCATATTTCATTATCCAATTACCAGTCCCAATGCATGTCAGCCATTGCATGAAGAGACCTTCAGATGACGAATTAGTTAAATGCGCAATAGCTAAAAATTTGTCATGAATTTTATCTCTTGACTGAACTTCTGGAGTTAACACTTTATGACGTTCGATCATATCAGTATAAGTGGACCATTCATATGGATCTTTATCATAAATGCCAAATTTAGAATCAGTATAGGTTTCTTTGATATGTGACAGAAATGAAGCTCTATTTTCTACCAAAACGTGCTTGGCAGGTTTATACCTATTATTAAAGATAGCTGAATGCTGAGAAGGACCAGGATATAAATCAATAACCTTAACTTTGCTAAAATCACCATACGTATCTTCTAGTTTCAGCCTATCAAAAATCTGTTCATGAATCAATGGGTTTAATAGATACTTAAAACCATAAAACCTTTTTAGCTTTGAAAGAGCTTGATATGGTTTAACAACTAATGACATTACAGATACATACAAATACCCAACCTATCAAAGAGCACACCAAATAACTGATATATCAATGTCTACACCAACATTTCCTAGAGTTGATAAGTGAATAGAGTAGTAAAGTGGTGATGAGCTTGTTAAAATATTTCATTTTGTTGCTTACTAGACATCCTAAGCCAGTTCTCCAGAGAAACCTTCGTATCCTACGATTCGCCGAACCAGAACCTATTGAACCCTGGCACAATAGCCTGAATATGAATATGGACAAGCAAATAAAACATGGAATCAATCCAATTATACAAAATAAAGAATAAAAAGAATCCATCTACCTTCCTAATCTCTGTCCAGCCACTTCCCATTTCTCATTATATGACAAGATCAGATTTGATCACCAATGGAATTGAAAAATAAATAAGCAAAGAAGAAACCAAATTGATTCCTGGAAACTTTCTATAATAATTATCCATTGAACAATCTCATTATTATACAATAATACCTTTCAGAACAATGAACCTTAGGCTATTGAGTATTAATTTTGAATCTTAGTCGCAGTAAAAATTGTCAGTCCATTGGAAGATGGTCTATCACAAGTCAAAAGCCTTAAGTGTTGGCAAAAATCCATAAATATGACATAATTACAAGAATTTAAAGCCAATCCAACCAATCTGGAGTTCTCAAATGGCCTTCTTCTAATACCATTCCATCTTTTCAACTTCCTGTCAGTGTCATCTTCCTTTATAAATCTTTGACATCTCATCTCATTTATCTTTATAAGGCGAAAATTGAAATATTAAATAAAGCAAGATGATATATTTCGAGCTATAAAGCTGAATTGAAAGGTACTTTTGGTTGGGTTAGATTGATATTTAGAAGATCAAAGGGTAGGCGATTGTATTTGTTATGGCAGTGTTAAAGATTAAGAAGTTGAAAGAGGCTCCTAAGGCTGAAAATGAGCCCAAGCCCAAGAAAATCCGTATTAAGACCAATTTGAAGAAAGAAGAACCTTCTAAACCTAAGTTGAAGATTAGTTTGAAGAAGAAAGGGTCTACTGAGAAGAAGAAAGGGTCTACTGAGAAGATTGAAAAGGTTGAGAAGGGTAGTGGGATGAAGTTGAAGCTGAATTTAAAGAAGAATGAGGAAAAACAAGTGAAAGGGCTTAAAACTCCACGATTAAGGTTAAAACCAATACGGGTACCCGGTGAAGGTTATGATTCTGAGGCCTCTGATATTGAAGATGATCCATTGATCGAAGAAGGGATTGTTCTAAGAGTTCTACCTGATATTCAAGCTGAGTTTGTCAAAAATTCTATCGAGAGTGGTGATTATTCAGGAATTGTTATTAAATGGAAAGGTGAGAGACATGCAATCGTTAATATCAACGATGTTTCATATGGGGCTGTATTAGTAGACCTACCAACATTGATTGAAGTTAATAAAAGTGTTGATAGAAAAAATTTAATGAAGACTTTTGATGTAAGCCAAATGTTACTATGTGTTAAAATTATAGAGAATGAAGAAGAAGTATTTACATTATCACCACCGGAATCAGAAGACTTGGCATTAAAACATTATGAAGAGTACAAGGATGAAATACAACATTATAAAAAACAGTTATTAAAGGGTTACAACGATGGTCCGTTAACTGAAAGTGAATCCAAATATCTTGACCAAATTGCACACAAGAGCTACGATTATAAACATGGTTTAACACCTCCATTATACAACGTTCGCAACAGAAGGTTCAGAAGGAAGATGGGTGCTGATGAATTTAACTACGCCGAAAGCGTTGTCCAACTGCTATTAGAACAAGATGAGCAAGCAGAAGAAGTGACATATGAATTGGTAGATGACAGCAATGTACTGGGAAGAACTGTATCTACGACTAATGTCATTTCCCAACCAAAACCAAAGGAAACTATACAGTCTTTTGCCCTTGATGAAGAGGAAAAAGAAGAAGATGAATTAGATTTGGAGCAAGCTTTTGAAAGTGAAGATGAAGAGAAAAGTGTATCCAGCAATCATCCTGTTGCTAAGAGTTCAGTTAGAATTGAAGAGAAATTAGATGAAACTGGTGATGATGTTGAACAGTACAACGGTGAAGAGGAAGAGGAAGAAGATGAAGAAGATGAAGAGGACGAAGAAGAAGAAGGTGATGAAGATCAAGAACGTGAAGGCCCTAAGCGCGCAGTTGATGAAAATATTCAACATAACGAGTTACTGAAAGAAGAATTGTCAGAATTAGAGAGTATTCTATCTCAAACTAAACAAAAACTGGAAAAAGCTACAAATCCTCTGTTAAAATCAAGATTTATTGATAGTATTAAAAAGTTAGAGAAAGAAGTAGAGATCAAGAGGAAACAGTTGAAAGCAAGTGATAGTACTTTGCAACATAAAGAAGGTGATGAAGAATCAGAAACACAACAAGGTATAGCAGATGAAGAAGTAGGAGTACCCGAGGAAGAGGAAGAAGAAGAAGAAGAAGAAGAGGAAGAAGAAGAAGAAGAAGAGGAAGAACAAGGACAAGCAACTGAACAACAATCCCAGCTCCAGCAGCAGCAACAACAACAACAACAAGAATCCGAAGAGGTCCCAGTTGCAGAAACAGAATTAGACCAAAATGATCTTGATATGATGATGTTGTTCGGTGCAGAAGGTGACGATGAGGAATGATAAGAACCATTTCCCCCCCCAAATTGTAACATTTTTTACTCAAATAAAATCTGATAAAATAAGAATTTATCATGTATAAATACATATATACAAATTATAGCATTCTATATACTAATATAAATAGAGTTTATTGGTATTGTCCATCATCATAGGTCATCAGTAATCCTGTTATTGCTGTCATTATTAAATGTCCACGACGTATTAAACGATAAACGTCGATATCTAGCGGTTTTTCGTGAATTTAAATTAAAAAACAATAATATTATAAGAAGATGATTAAGAATTGCAAATAAATAATAAAAGGTATTAAAAGCTCAAGGATTTTTGATAAGTTCGACGTGATACCTTTCTAAATATTGTATCAAGTTAATCACCAAAGTACCAGGTGTTGCTAGGTTTATCGTTTTGGGTTTTTTTTATCTTCTATCTGAGATACCAGCTCTTTTTTTTTTTTTTTGCAGAAATCCAAAGGTAAAAGAAAAAAATAAATAAATAAATAATAATATACATATTTCAAGACTATACAAAAAAGAAAAATAGGTGAAAGGTCACTGAGAGTTTATTAGGATATTTAAGGTTGTAAGAGGTATACTTTTATTAGCAAGGCTTTGATTCAGGATGAATATAGATGTTCCACAACGTCAACTAACCAAAGAAGAGATTAATCGTTGTTATTTGAGATGGCAACAGTTGCGTAATGAACATGGTGAGAATGCACCAAAAGTTCCAGAATTTATTTATTTTACTAAAGTTTTGAAAGCTGCTGCCAGTCAGGAACAACAATTACAGAAGCAACGACAAAATCAAAATGCTTCACCTAATTCCCAACAGCCTGCAAATGGTAATGTTAGCAATAATATTAATAATGTGGGTCAAATGAATAATTATAACAATAATAACAATAATAAACCCGTTTCTAATAACTTTTCACAGCAATCTCCTATGCCTAATGGCAATACAAACATTTCTGGTTCTCCAAATTTAGAAAACAAAAAGAACTTTAATATGCCAGGAACAGGAAACTTCCCTATTACACCAAGTTATAATAATAATAATAATAATAATAATAATAACAACAACAACAACAACAACAATAATAGTAATAATAACAATAACAGTAATGGAGGTAATAATATAAACCTTAATCAGAATAATAACTTCAATAATTTCAATGCTAATAGCAATAATATTAAAGAAAGTTCTAACCAGACAAGTATTTCAAAGCAACAGAATGTTCCTTCGAATAACAACCCTGAAAGTTCAAACCGTAATATACCGGTTAATAACAGTTCTGGTGGTTCTAACAAGAACCCACCCTTAGGAAGGATCCCTATGGCACAAGCAGAGTTACTCAAGGCACAGGTTACTGCATTGAAATGTCTAGTTAACAAACAGTCAATATCTATGGAGACCCAGAATGTCATTCACTCTTCAATTAACAATCAGCCAGATTTCAGAAAGTTGTTGAGGGCACTAAGTGACTCTGTAAAACTAAAGCAGCAAAGACAAGTACAACAACTACAAAAATCACAATCTGGTATTCAACCCCAGCCTTCTCCAGTTGGTGTCCAAAATCAATATCAAAATAAGAATAATGTAAAGATGCAACAAGTAAATGTACGAAACGATTCATTTGTTAAAGTGTCAAATCCACCAACCCCTGTTATCAATGAACCAAAGAATAATAATAACATTAGTAACAGCAACAACAATAATATTAATAATGTAAATAATAGAAATGTTGATGTCAGCAATATCGGAATAAAGGTTAATAAAGATGCCAATACTCCGAAAAATTACCCAACTCCCAACAATAAACCAACGTATAATATTAATGAGAGTCAAGTAAGTGTTCCAGCTCCTGTTGAACCTCCCAAAAAGGTATTCATTGGAGATAAGGCTCCACCTGAGCTAGGAGCTCCTATGGTCCTTGAAGATTTTAAAACTAATCATTCAACAATAGAAAAATTTGTTGATGTAAACAATCCAAATATAATGGTTGATTCGTACACTTTACCAAATTTTGGGGAAGTTCCTATTTCTTATGAGACGTTATTTTCACTCGATAAAGATAGTAATATAAATATAGAGCCAAGTGTTTTACCAGTTGGTATAGATATATTCAGTGCAACTGAAATATACCAAACTTTGGTTGCACTAAATTTAGACACTGCAGTTGATGATTGTCTAGAAAAAATATTGGATGATAAAGTGGATCAGAAAATAAAAGATGAAGTGTTGTATGATTACTACGCCTTGCAACTCTTACCATTACAGAAAGCAATTAGGGGCCATGTCCTTCAATTTGAATGGTACCAAAATTCGTTACTGACAAATACTCATCCTAACTTTTTGTCTAAGATCCGTAATGTCAATATCCAAGATGCTGTGATGACGGAAGATCTATACAGAAAGAATGAAACAAAACAATATGAAAAGGAAAAGATTGCGAAGTCTCGTAAATTGGAGAGAATGGTGAAAAGTGCTACTAGCAGTTATACTTCGAGGTTAGACAAGAAAGCTCGTCATGTTAAATTCGGTCATAAGTTGATTAACGCTCATGTTAACTTTGAAAAAGAAGAACAGAAGCGTGTAGAGAGACAAGCAAAGGCCCGTTTACAAGCTTTGAAAGCGAATGATGAAGAAGCATATATAAAACTTTTGGACCAGACGAAAGATACAAGAATTACGCATCTGTTGAAACAGACAAATGCTTTCTTAGATTCTTTGACTATAGCTGTCAAAGACCAACAAAAGCATACAAAAGATATGATTAGTTCCCACTTCGATGAGGATGAAGAAGAAACTACGGAGGTAACCGAACTACTTCCAATGGGAACCAATGATGATTCTGATGACGATGATGATACTGTGGATTATTATAATGTAGCACACAAGATTCAAGAGACTATTACGGTTCAACCAAAAATTCTTGTTGGTGGTACGTTAAAAGATTACCAATTGAAGGGTTTACAATGGATGGTATCTTTGTTTAACAATCATTTGAATGGTATTTTAGCTGATGAAATGGGTTTAGGTAAAACAATTCAAACAATTTCATTATTGACGTATCTTTACGAATCAAAACATGTCCACGGTCCATTTTTAGTTATCGTTCCGTTGTCAACCTTGACAAATTGGAGTACTGAATTTGCAAGATGGGCACCAGCTTTAAGAACAATTTCATTTAAGGGTTCACCATTTGAAAGAAAGGCAAGATATTCTGCGATTAAAAATGTCGAGTTCGATGTTTTGTTGACAACCTTTGAATATATCATTAAAGAAAAAGCATTGTTGTCTAAGATCAAATGGGTACATATGATTATCGATGAAGGTCATAGAATGAAGAACGTTCAATCCAAGTTGTCGTTAACTTTGAATACTTTTTACCATTCAGATTATAGACTAATTTTAACTGGTACGCCATTGCAAAATAATTTACCGGAACTTTGGGCACTATTAAATTTCGTTCTGCCAAAAATCTTCAACTCTGTAAAATCCTTTGATGATTGGTTTAATACGCCATTTGCCAATACTGGTGGCCAAGACAAGATTGCTTTGACAGAAGAAGAAGCATTGTTGGTTATCAGAAGATTGCATAAAGTTTTAAGGCCGTTTTTGTTACGTCGTCTGAAAAAAGATGTCGAAAAAGAATTACCAGATAAAGTAGAAAAAGTTATCAAATGTAAAATGAGCGCACTTCAAAAAGTTTTATATCAACAAATGTTAAAACATAAGCGTTTATTTGTAGGTGATCAAGGCAATAACAAGAAGTCCTCAGGTTTACGTGGTTTCAACAATCAAATTATGCAGTTGAAGAAAATTTGTAATCATCCTTTTGTTTTTGAATCGGTCGAAGATCAAATCAACCCTACTAGGGAAACAAATGAAAATATATGGCGTGTTGCAGGTAAGTTCGAATTGTTAGGAAGGGTTCTCCCAAAATTAAAGGCAACAGGCCATAGAGTACTAATTTTTTTCCAAATGACACAGATTATGGATATTATGGAAGACTTTTTGAGACACATTGATGTGAAATACTTGAGATTAGATGGTCATACCAAACACGATGAACGTAGTGAATTGCTTCCTATGTTCAACGACCCAAATTCGGACTATTTTTGTTTTATTTTATCTACAAGAGCCGGTGGTTTAGGTTTGAACTTACAAACCGCAGATACTGTTATCATTTTTGATACTGATTGGAATCCACATCAAGATTTACAAGCTCAAGACAGAGCTCACAGAATCGGTCAAAAGAATGAAGTGAGGATTTTGAGATTAATTACAGAAAATTCCGTAGAGGAGGCTATTCTAGAAAAAGCGCATAAGAAGTTGGATATCGATGGTAAGGTTATTCAAGCTGGTAAGTTTGATAATAAATCGACAGCTGAAGAACAAGAGGCATTATTAAGATCTTTGATGGAAGCTGAAGATTTACGTAAGAGAAGAAGGGAAGAAGGCTTAGATGATGAAGACGAAGAAATGGATGACAAGGAATTAAATGAATTATTAGCAAGAAATGAGAATGAAATCGATGTTTTCAATCAACTTGATATGGATCGTGGCCGAAAAGATTTAGAAAAGGGTATCACTAATAGATTATTTGATGATAGTGAACTGCCTGATATTTACAGTCAAGATATGGATGCCGAAATTGAAAAAGAGGCATCTAAAAAAAATGTTTTATATTCAGGTAAAAGAGCCAATCGTAAAGTACAAAGTTACTCTGATAGCATGTCTGAAGCACAGTGGCTAAAGCAGTTTGAAGTTAGCGATGACGAAAATAATGGAAAAGTTGAAGAGTTACCAGACGAGGATGATGTTACACAGCCTAAAAGAGAAGATTCTCCAGATCATTCAATAACAGAAGAAAATAATGATGAAAATAATGATGAAAATGAAAATCCAAATAAAAGAAAAAATGAAGAAGAAGAACAAGTTTCTTCAAAGAAGATTAGATTGAATGAAGACGAACTGAATCCAACAGTTGCGTCTGAGGAAGATAAATCCGATAATGAAAATTCTACAGATCATATTATCGAACGTCCTGCTGGCAAAACTTCCCTAAAAAGCGACGCCATCTCAACTAGAGGCAAGACTCGTGGACGTGGACGTGGCCGTGGACGTGGACGCGGAAGAGGTAGAGGCGGTAGGCCAAGTAGCTCTAAGACAGGTTTAAGGTTTATCAGAGACCCTGAAGCGACTACAAAACTCCCTGAAGAAAGGGAAGAAATCAGTGCTATTGCCAAAAAATTGTATGATTTTGCAATTGATTATGAAAATGAAGATAACCGCAACCTTGCAGGAATATTTATAGTAAAGCCTTCTAAAAAATTATATCCTGATTACTATATGCTAATTAGGTATCCAATGGCATTTGAAAATGTTAAGGCTCATATTGACACATTAGCATATGATTCCATCCAAGAAGTTTTTGAAGATTTCCATTTAATTTTTGCAAATGCAAGAATATATAATCACGAAGAATCCCTAATTTACCAAGACTCTTTGGAATTAGAAGAGGCTATTGGGAAGGAGTATACCAAACTAACAGGGAAACCAGCAGAATTCGATTTCTCGACGTTTAATGAGAACTACACCACTAAGCCATTAATACCAATTGTTTCGAGCCCACAGATTGAAGAAGATTCGATTAAGACTGAGGAACCATTGAAAGAAGATGAAATAAATAACAAAGAAGAAGCAAAACCTGTTGAAACGGTAGCTGATGACAAGTCTATAAAAAGTATCGAAACTGATGGCACTTTAAATAGAGAGACTACAGAAGGTTGATGTTCAATGGAGAAATCTGGAATCGTTATAATTTCGATTTCCTTTTATTTTATTATATCTTGTTTTATTTTATTTTGTCCACATAGACATTTTATACAGAATTACCTTTGTTATTAAAGGAATAACCTGATTCAGGTTTGTTATGTAATTGTAATATAATAGCATTTATTAAAAATAGTGTTACTCTATTGTAAGAATCGATTCGAAGTTGGTAGTCACTATGATTTAATCATCGGTGAAACCAAAAATTAACACCATTTATCCCCGATCACGAGGTATGATGATGTAAATGCAAGGGCAACCAACCATTGAACCATTGAACAAACCATTGTGAAAGATATATAAAGAGATATGTTTAAAACAGTAACTTCAAAATAACGATTGTCACCAGAATCATAGAGGTTTGATATCTGAACCAATTCATTGTTATAAAAATGTCACAGGGTAGAAAGGCTTCAGAAAGGTTGGCTGGTAAAACTGTATTAATTACAGGTGCTTCATCAGGGATTGGGAAAGCCACTGCATTAGAATATCTAGATGCCTCCAATGGTCATATGAAGTTAATTTTAGTTGCAAGAAGATTAGAAAAATTGCAAGAGTTGAAGGAAACAATTTGTAAAGAATATCCAGAATCTAAGGTTCATGTTGAAGAATTAGATATTTCTGATATTAATAGAATCCCAGAATTTATTGCAAAATTACCTGAAGAATTCAAAGATATTGATATATTGATTAACAATGCAGGTAAAGCATTAGGAAGTGATACTATTGGTAATATCGAGAATGAGGATATTAAAGGTATGTTTGAGACTAACGTTTTTGGATTAATCTGTTTAACACAAGCTGTACTTCCAATATTCAAGGCTAAAAATGGTGGTGATATTGTCAATTTAGGGTCAATTGCAGGCATAGAAGCTTACCCAACAGGATCTATATATTGTGCAACTAAATTTGCAGTTAAAGCATTCACTGAAAGTTTAAGAAAGGAATTGATTAATACAAAGATCAGAGTTATTGAAATTGCACCAGGTATGGTTAACACTGAATTTTCTGTAATTAGATATAAAGGTGACCAAGAAAAGGCAGATAAAGTTTATGAAAACACTACTCCTTTATATGCAGATGACATCGCTGATTTGATAGTTTACACCACTTCTAGAAAATCGAATACCGTTATCGCTGATGTTTTGGTATTCCCAACATGCCAAGCTTCTGCATCCCATATCTATCGTGGATAAGATAGTTACATACTTCTATAAACTGATATAAGTATATAGCCAGAGGACAATTCTAACAATATTGTACATTACTTGAGCAAAATTATAATTTCAATTATGTAGAACTAATGGTATATAAAGGTTTGATGCATCATGAATAGCTACAGAGATCAATTTAGTAAACTATTTAATTGTTCCAAAAATTCTTCATATGTGATAGAACTTTTAACACCTTCATATCTTATCACCTCTAAGAAATAGTCTTGATAGTTGTTTAATACATCCTTAGCGTTTCCCCAGTAACCTGACTTTTCAATTAGATTAAGAAAAGTATCCTCTTTATCCCATTCCTGTTCAGTCATCACATCTGGCAAGAAAGTAGCACTGAAGTGTGATTTAGAATGTGGGTCTTTAAATTTTAATTCAATACCATGAGTACCTAGTTCCCAATTGTTAATGTCACCCCTTTTAGCTTTGCCATCATAAATAACTTTGAAATTCTGTAAGATGTTACAGCTACATTTAAGTTTTGGTAACTCATGTGCAGCAATTGGTGGAAATCTACTATCTTCTAAAGCTGCAATCAATGAATATTTTTCTAGACCTTCTTTGATAGGTAACTTTGCGAAAGTACCAATGCAACCTCTCAAGGCATAGGGATCATCTATATGTATCTTTGACCTTTTTTTCTTCCAAGTAACGAAAAGAGAAGTCTTGGAATCAGTTGAAATGGACCTTTCATTGGGATATAACCTATCAGCTACTACACTTAAAGTTATCCCTTTAAGTTGGTCCCCATCATGATGAAAGTATTTGTAAATTTGTAGAAATGCATAAAATGCAAAGGAAGAACTCTTGCCTTCGTTATCAGACATGATATATTCTGTTTTGGTCAAGGTTGTAAGTTCTTTTAAAACCGACATTCAATCATCCACTGTACCTTTTCCTACTTTTAAATACATAAATATGAGGGATGAGATAGTTTCAACAGTTAGCTTTGATCTTGCCAAAGATATGGATGGATGCATGCATGCATGCGCAAACGTATAATAAAAGGGACAAATATCTAATAGATCAGACAAGAGAAACCGATAAAGAAGAAAATGGGAATTACAGAGCATCGATCCATAAATATTATAAGAATGGTGACAACACTGACATGATATGATTCAAGCAAATAAGGCAAACTATGATCTGATATATATTAGATTAGCAATATAGCTAGGCATAGATAGAATTGGGACCAAGAATAGACAATCAATTCAAGTTTCATTCATTTGAATTTCAACATCATCAGACTACTGATTGAATAGGATTCATATATACTTTATTGTTGATGAGAGTTTTTAGATCATCTCTTTTTTAAGGAATGGTATGGTATGGTTTGATGGGTTGATGGTTTGGTTTGGTTCAATTTTTAAACGAGAAGACCTTTTTTCAGGCACTTGACAATATTATAAACCACGTGATTATTTTATGTCCGGGTAATTAAATCGTAGATCACATGACATATATCACATGATCAAGTCATGTGACCTATTCCGATTCTCATTTTTCAGCTTCTTTTTTGGGTCCGAAATGACATTGAAAATGACGAATTTGACCTTTAACATATTGTATAATGTTTAAAATTTAAGAATAATATAGTATACATTAAAGGATGGTTACGATGAATTGCTGACGTTAAATTGTTGGAATTAACATTAATTTCTTAAGATATACATTGGTTGGATACAGTTCTTTGATTCTAGTTAGGTTTTTTTTTGTTTATTTTATCTTTTGTTATTTTGGGGATATTGAGGACAATGGACTTGGAAGAGCTGCCTTAAAAAGTTAACAAAAAATAAAAAAATATAATTGGTGATATTAGAAGTTAAATTTATTCTCTTTTTGGGTTAGAACAGTATTGCTGATAGTATGGGGTCTCGAAGTGTGACGTTTTGTGTTTCACAAGAATTGAATGTTCCATTTAGAGTGAAGGTCAAGTCTTTGGAAGGTTACAAACCTCTATTGAAATATTCTGAGAGAATACAGGATCCAAGATTGACACAAACAGCTTCTAATGTAAGCCCACATAGTGATATGTTAGTGTCAGTGCAAATATTTGACGATGAGACAGGTAGGATATTGACAATCCCCGAATTTACGCCGTACATTCCTTTTAAGAATTTGCGTAAATGGGATCATTGGTTAACGTTACCAATTTCAATTAGTCAATTAAGTTTATCTAGTAAACTCCGAGTAATATTATGGGAATATGATGGAATAAATAAAATACCATTCTTCATATTGCAGACGTCGATATTCAATGGGAAGGATAATTTATTGAAGAGAGGTCTGGAGTCTTTGAAGTTCCAATATGATGATTTGAATAGTTTAACTGTTATTGATGATAATAAAGTTAGTAATAATTTAAATAAATACTATCAAGGAGAGATCAGAAAAGTGGATTGGTTAGATGAGATAACAATACCGATGCTAGAAAAAGAAAGAGAGAAACGTAGTTGGCCTGTAGGTGTGTTTGTGTTAAACATTGAATTCCCAGTTTTTGAATTACCTGTTGTATTCACAGATTCACAGAATACAGATACCCAACTTAATATTCCAACTTTGAATAACTCAGAATTTAATCCGGAATTAGTAACATATAATAATACAAATAAAACCAAAATATCATTAGGTGATAAGTATAATTCAACTTTAAAGTTTTATGACCCTGATCAGTTCAACCATGACCCAATCGAGGAAAAATTTAGAAGACTAGAAAGAGCTTCAAAACGTTCAAATTTGGATAAACATTTGAAACCAGATGCCAAGAAAAGAGATTATCTAAACAAAGTTATTAATTATCCTCCTGGCACAACATTGACTCCTCATGAAAAAAGTTCCATTTGGAAATATAGATATTTCCTTGTAAATAATAAAAAGGCATTGACAAAGTTACTACAGTCAACAAACCTATCAGAAGAAACAGAAAGAACAGAAGTACTGGAATTAATGGATTCATGGGCAGAAATTGATGTTGATGATGCAATTGAGTTATTGGGTTCTGCATACAAGAATATTTCGGTTAGGGCTTATGCGGTAAATCGATTAAAAAAAGCTTCAGATAAAGAACTGGAATTATATCTATTACAATTAGTACAAGCAGTATGTTTTGAAAGTTTATCAACTTTTTCTGATAAGTCTAATAGTGAATTTAGTATTGTAGATATAACTCCATCACAGGCATTATCCATATCTAATTATGCGGCATCTCAACAAAAACAAATTAACAATTTTATAAACTCGTCGTCAATATCTCCAAATGCTGAAACTATTGTCATTTCACCTTTAGCTGAATTCCTAATTAGGAGAGCAATTAAAAATGCAAGATTAGGAAACTTTTTTTACTGGTATTTGAAATCAGAATCCTCAGATAACCCATATCTGGATCAGATTATCGAATCATTCTGGAGCAGGTTGGCAGAAGAAAGAAAATTAGATTTATCCGAAGAAATAAAATTGGTTGACTTATTACGTGAATGTTGTAATGAAATTAGAAAGTTAAAAGAATCAACAAGCAAGAAACAAGACCTACTGACTCACCTTTTGACTTCAAGGGTAAGACAGCGTCTAAAACATCATCCTACAATTTTACCTCTTGATCCAGATACATTAGTTACAGACGTGGATCCAGAAGCCTCTAGAGTGTTCAAGAGTTCATTATCTCCATTAAAAATAACTTTTAAAACGAAAATAGGTACTCCTTACGCAATCATGTATAAGGTTGGTGATGATTTGAGGCAAGATCAATTGGTGGTACAAATTATTAGCTTGATGAACGAGCTATTGAAGAATGAAAATGTTGATTTGAAGTTGTTACCATACAAAATTCTAGCAACAGGTCCACAAGATGGTGTTATTCAATTTATTCCTAATGATACAATGGCAACTATTTTGAGTCAATATAGTGGAATTCTACCATATTTTAGAGACCATTTCCCTGATGAAAGTAATGATTTGGGTGTGCAACAATGGGTCATGGAAAATTTTGTGAAATCATGTGCAGGTTATTGTGTTATTACATACATTTTAGGTGTCGGTGATAGGCATTTGGATAATTTGTTGATAACTACGGATGGTCATTTTTTCCATGCAGATTTTGGGTATATTTTGGGTCAGGACCCAAAGCCATTTCCACCATTAATGAAACTACCTCCGCAAATTATAGAAGCATTTGGAGGCACTGAATCATCAAACTATGATAAATTTAGAAGTTATTGTTTTGTTGCATACTCTATTCTAAGAAGAAATGCTGGATTGATATTGAATTTATTTGAATTAATGAAAACATCGAATATTCCTGACATTCGTATTGACCCTGAAGGATCAATACAAAAAGTTAAAGAAAGATTTAACTTGGACATGTCCGAGGAAGAAGCTACTGTCCATTTCCAAAACTTAATTAATGACAGTGTCAATGCATTATTACCTTTAGTGATAGATCATCTACATAATTTAGCTCAATACTGGAGGGCATAAATCTATATTTATATCGAGAGGAGAATTTTTAAAAAGATTTTTATTATTTTTATGATATATAAATATATATTTTCTTATAAATTATAAGTAATGCAATTAATTGGTAATAAAACTAGAGAAAGTTTGTAGAGACATTAAATTTTTGTAAAAGGAATTGAATTTCTGAATTTATCATTAACTTAATCTCATCGATTGAACTTCCAAAGCATGATATTAAGAATAATCTAGATATTGTTCCTTTCATAATCGTGACCAATATAAAAATTGATAGTATCGAAGTATATGGCAATCTTGTCACAATTCTCAGGGATTCAATTAAATACAAATTAGCCACCCACTGGATGACGTTCATTGAAAAGAATGTATCATAAGGCCAAATTAACATCAGAATTGGGAAAATTTTAGCACCATAAGATAACAAAATAGTGTAAGATAAAATTTCACGTCTATATTTCATTTCTTTTCCCCATTGCAATCCTCTTAAGACACAGAATAAAATCAAATAGTAAAATATAAGCATATCTACAATACAATATCCTGCATAACTCAAATATTGATTCAATGGGTCAGCAGAAAGTATTCTATTCAGTAATAAATATTTATCGTCTTTAACTCTTTGCTGATTTAAACCATATATATGTTCTTCTGCAGACCATGTCAAATACACCTCAAAAGCCACCAGAAGGATCCAGAACCTATTAGTAGTATCAAATTTCACAATCCAATTCTTAAAGTTACTATAAATAATCTTACTCTTCTCCTGTGGAGATCCCTCCACTGGCAAGGATTCAGGGTACTTTGAGAGTTTCAATTCCAAAGAATTGAACACCAAATGTCGATAAGCACCTGGCTTTAACAACAGCAAATCCATAAACAACAATACATTATCAATCTCAATGTACCTATCAGTCACTTGGTTACAATTCTTACAATCTGTCAGTTGTATATGCTTATTCGAATAAACTGTATATAGCGACTCAGCATGTTTAGTACATTCAATACATATCATCGGTAACAGAAACAAAAGATTACCACAACTCACCAACCTTTTAACAACAACAATAAACTCAATGACTTATCCACCCAATATCCCATCAGCTACATCTTTAAATCTATTACAATGGTTTGGTTGTATAGGTTCTCTCTTATTTTAAATCTTGCGATGAGGTCAATATCAAATTTTGAAACTTTTCAGCATATCGAATATTTAAGAAATGAATCCATAAGAAACTAGAAACTACACAAGTTGATTAAAGAGAAGTAACAAATAAAGGTACTGGTGTGTTGTGTATTTGATATTTGTGTTACTTTTAGGTTGGACAATGTCATATTACAATAGGGGCAAGAGTTCTACGCCTTGCAAATATTTCCAACAAGGTTATTGTAACAAAGGTAATAATTGTAAGTTTGCTCATGTTTTAAACAATGGGAATGGTGGCTCAACTGCAAATAAAGAAGGGAAATCTGATGCAGAGAAGTTGAAAAATTTCATCAGTCCTAATTCTTTTAATTATTTACAAAAAAGTACAATTGGTGATATCAATGAATCCAAGGATTTCCAAGTTAAGCCGTTGGCTTCTTCTTATAGTTCAGAGGTGCCTTGTGCATTAAATTTGATAAATGGTAGGGATTATTCGTTGGAAGAGTCTAGGCTTCAATATTATGAAGCTCGTCAGAATGGTTCAGTTCCTCAATATGAGTCTCAGTTGAATGCCAGATTGGCTGATATGCAAAAATGTTTCAATCATATAAGGGCCCATCCAGACTGGGCTGCTAGATATTTGCAGAAAGGTACAAAAGAAATATCGGAAACTGGTAGAACTACCAATACAGCCCCATTTTGTAATTTCCCGTTAGATTTAAATGCCCCAGTTTCAAATCCTGCTTTTGGTTCAAATCCATTTACTAGTGGTGGTAGTGCAAATACAAGTGCTTTTGGTGGTTCTGCAAATAATGCTTTTGGTAAACCAAATTTTGGAGCTTCTGAATCACCATTTCGTTCTACTATGGGAACTGGATCATCTAATTTAGGTGCTTCTGTTCAATCACCATCTGCTTGTGCAGGCTCAGCATTTGGTACGCCAAGCTTTGGATCAAAGACTTTTGGATCACAGACCAATCAAGCATCTGTGGGGGGTGCCTTTGGCAAACCTGCTTTTGGAGCTCCTAGTTCAACTTCTAATGCATTCGGAGCTGGAAGCACAACCTCATCATCGTTTGGAGCACCTTCTTTTGGTTCAGCTCCGTCCAATACAACTGGTAATACAAGTTCATTTGGTGGTGCTGAGAGTAGTGCTTTTGGAAAGCCAGCATTTGGAGCATCAACGCAGCCATTTGGTTCAAGTTCAGCAACAAGTTCAGCATTTGGAGCTCCAGCTTTTGGATCAACTGCTACATCTTTTGGCCAAGTAGAAGGTACATTCGGTTCTGGTTCTGCTTTTGGGAAGCCCTCATTTGGAAGTAGTCAGGGTACGGCCAATACATCTCCATTTGGTTCATTACAGGGTAATGAGAATAAAGGAGCTGCATCTGCCTTTGAATCATCCAGTTTTGGTACTTCAGGTTTTGGTAGTGCTCAAAATAATGCTATTACCCAACAAAAGAATCAATCACCATTTGGCTCTCTTTCTGTTTCTGGCCAAAGCCAGCAGTCGACAAACACTCCTGCATTTGGAACTGCTCCTGCTGGACAAAATACATCAAGTGCCTTTGGTGCTGTAGCAAATGGAGGTGCTGCTGGATTTGGAGCTTTCAGCTCTCAGCCTTCTGAATCGTCAGCCTTTGGCTCAACAGCTAAAAGTCCTTTTGGATCTATACAACAAACAGGACAAAACCAAACTCCAGCTCAGTCTGCTTTTGGAGCTACAACAACTCCTTCGAATGGAGCATCCCAACCGTTCGGGCTATCAAATGCTAATATAAATTCACCATTTGGAAATATGGGAGTCAAACCTCAGTCACCTTTTGCTTCCCAGTCTAGTTCGACTATATCAGCTCCTATGGCAGGTTCCAATCTTAACCAAGGTGCTCCATCAGATGATGATAAGCGAGAACCTGATTCTTTACTAGAAGAGACATTAGCCAAATTTAAATCTGAAAGTTTCACTTTAGGAGGAGTTCCAGATATACCACCACCAATGGTGCTCTGTACCTAATTATGGTATCCATTAGCATAATTGCAAGTAAATAAAAATGCATATAAACAATATAGAACATTAATAATAACATCGGTAACGTAACTTTAAATAAATTTTAAAGGCTCTAAATCTTTTAGTTTCAAAAGATATTAAAATGAATTAAATGACATAAAATACAAACTACTTAAAGTGCAATGTTAATTATTGATTTATCAAAGACTGTATACATCTTTATCTATAGAATTATTATTGAGCACCACCTTCCTTTAGAGTGGACTTACCTGCTCTTAATAATTCATCACATAACAGTAGATTACTTGCGATACCGGTTGCACCATTAATGGCATTTCTGATAACACGGTAGGAATCCCAAATACCTTCAATTGTTGGGTCACAAGAATCACCAAGATTCAAATCGACACCAACATATCTACGTTCTTCACTATCTTCAGCACTTATTAATTCATCTTCACATAATGCTAGTACATCTAATGCATCGTATCCTGAGTTTTTAACTAAAGTTTTTGGAATAATCAATAAAGATTCTGCAAATGCTTCTATACCAGTCTTTGTTTTACCTTTAGCGCCTAATTTACTCATATTAGCGGTCTTCAAATGTTGAGATGCTGAAATGAAATAAGAACCTGCACCTGGAACCACATTCTTGTCCTTTAGAACATTCGCAACTGCTCTTAAACCATCTCTAACAGCATCTTTGGTTTGGTTTAATTGATAATGGGCTGCACCTTTGATTAGAATAGTACAAGATTTAGGTAATTTATTTTCTGTAACATAGGTGAATTTTTCTTCACCAATGGTTTCTTGATAAACCAAACCTGAATAACCCAAAACTGAAGGATCCAAATCATCTACTGAGTTTTGAGCTTCACCACCAGTAACTAATTGTAGTCTTTCCATGTTACGTCTTTTAGCTCTTCTTAAAGCTAAGATATTATGTTTTGCCAAGACATCAAGGGACATTGGGTCAATACCCTTTTGATTAATGATAACGAAACCTTTGTTAGAGTCTAATCCACAAACTTCATTTTTCAAATCTATAATTTTTTTCAATTTGGCATCAACGAATTTTCTTTCACTTGCAGCTAATTTATCTCTTTGTTCAGCTGAACTGTAGAAAAATGATGAGTTAACTTCAGTTTTTTCATATTCTAGGGATACGTTCAAAATCAAAATATAGGCATTTTCGACTCTAGAAGGCATGTCTGGGTGTCTACCACCATGGTCCAAAACCAAACCTTTGATAAAAGTAGTATCCTTTGGGGATAAATGTTGCATTTGCATTATTTCTACCATATGTAAATCTATATTACTGTTATTTTCTTCATTTTGTACATTCAATACTGCATCTGTAACAATTGGGGCCAAAACTTCTGTCAATTCTGGGTTAACTTTAGTAGTTAAAGAAGATCTTGCAACTTGTAATAAGAATTCTCGATCCAATTCACCTTCAGATTGATTCTTTGATATTTTAAATTCATCTAAAAATTGTAAAGCTTCCTTACGAGCAATTTCAAACCCATCGGTAATGATTCTTGGATGTACACCTTCCTGGATATATCTATAAGCTTGTCTCAATAATTCCCCAACTAAACAAACAACGGTAGTTGTACCATCACCAGTAATTTCATCTTGAGCTGCTGCAGCACGAGCAATCATCACTGCGGTAGGAGACTGAATTTGCATCTCAGTCAAAAGAACTTTACCGTCTTTAGTCAATTTAATGTTACCAGCACCATCCACTAACATCTTTAAAGTACCTTTTGGACCCAAGTTAGTCTCCAAAACAGATTGTAAACCTTCAGCGGAGGTAACGTTAACTTTCAAAGCTGCATCACGTCTCAACGATTCTGCCTTAGGATTCAACAATTGCAAAGACATCTCTCAATATATTCAAAAAATAAACTTGCTTACACAGTCCTGGTAGTCCTTTCCCAATGTTCTTGGAGCTTTGTTTATGTGATTTTAAATACATCATTGGTGTTGTCTTGTATTGTCTTGTTCTTTTATTCAAATTTGATTTGGGCTTAAAACTTTTCGCCACTTTGATATTCAAGTTACCCGGTATACACAGTAGCACGTGATCATCTCAAGTTTTTAAAAAAATGAAAGTCACGTGGTTTAGAATTTCTCTTTCTCATTCTCTATATTTTCTTTTTTTGGCATATACAGACAAATAAGAAGCAGTGTTGTTAACTACAGGAAGGACGTATTTGATCTATCTAAAGATGTATATGTATATCTATCTCTATGTATAAGTATTATATTGCTCAAATTCAAGAACTGTTATATAATTGAATGCTTGCAATTATGAAGGTGGAAGTTGGTACATGTTACGGTTAATACCATCAATACTGATATTGCAAAGCTACTTTTACTACCACCAAGGTTCTTACTTTTTTAATTCTTTGGGAACAAATTAACTAACACTCACCCACTCACTCACTCACTCACTTTCTCACTTAATTGACGCCCTCACATATGAAGTTTTTAACTATATACAAACAAATATTCTCAATGGTCTATTCTTGTCTATAAACAACTATAGGCTATTAGTATATATAGTACTGTGCTTATTTAATTCTTTGTCTTGGACCACCAGGGGATTTCTTGTTTCTGGCGGTCAATAATTCAACACCATGTTCTGTTACTAGCAACATATGTTCAAATTGAGCACTCAATTTACCATCTTGAGTGACAGAAGTCCAGTCATCTGGCCAAGTAACGTCCTTCCAAACACCTTCATTGATCATTGGTTCGATTGTAAAGACCATACCTGGTTTCATGATACCAGAGGTTCTGTTTTTAGCGTAATGTGGAATATTTGGTGAACAATGGAAATATTCACCAACACCATGACCACAATAAGTCCTTACTACTGAACATTTATTTTCTTTAGCATGTTTTTCGATATAATCACCTAATTCTTGGAAAGTGGCACCTGGCTTACAACGTTTAATGGCAGCTTTCAAACATTCTCTTGAAGTTTCAACAGTGTTAATAGCCTCTTTCGAAATATCTTCACCAACGTAATAAGTTTCATTTAAATCAGCATGGAATCCATCGTGGAATAAAGATACATCAATATTGACAATATCACCTTCTTTCAATACGGTTTTGTCTGGGATACCATGGCAAATAACTTCGTTAACAGAAGTACAAACAGATTTTGGGAAATTATAATAATTCAATGGAGATGGATAAGCATTTCTCTTGATAGTTTCATTGTGTACAATTTCATCAATTTCATCAGTGGTAATACCAGGCTTAACAGCAGCAGCAGCAATGTCCAAGACTTCACGACCCAACATAGCAGCTTTTCTGATCTTCTTGATCTGGTCCTTATTGTAAACAGGGATCTTGTTCAATCTATCATTTCTTTGTTCTGCAATAGGCAACCCATTAGCAGCCCAATCAGGTTTAACAACCTCTTCAGGAACATATCTCTTTGAAGTCAACGGATAAGAAGCTCTCAATTCACCAGTATACTTGAACTTTGGGAAAGGATCGTAAGAGGCTTTGTCATCATCACCATCTTTGTAATGTAAAGCCTTATGAGCTTTGTAGTTGTCCTTGTAACATGATTCATCACAGAAGACAGATTCAATACCAGATTTCAAACAAATAGGACATTTTAATTGAGAGGTAGTCTCCTTACCACACTGAAGACCAGCACAATACACTATCTGATCACTAGACATGATAAATCAAAATTTCAGACCTTTATTAAACAAAGTAAACACTCTCAAAAGTAAAAATTTTTTCCTCTTCACTCTTGTTGTATGGAATCTCTAAATCTCAAAAGTTAACGAATAAACCTTCAATCTGAACCAAACAAAAACCTGGGAACTAGCTCAACAACAATTACAAACAATCTGACACCACTGAACACCACTGTTGATACAAATATAAGACCAATAACCATACATTACAACATCTACAATCATCTTTAAACTTTTATACATCTTGTTTTATCAAACAATTTTCAGATTTGAATTTTGCAATGAGCTCTATTTTGGTTGTAAAAGAAAGCTGTAAATGATTCAAAACAAGACCTAGATCTTGACTAAAGTTGATGATATTGGATATAAAGAGTTGGTTATTGATTGAATTGATTGGTTCAGTGACTTTGTTAGCACTTGTTATGGGTTACTAAGTGTTTTGTTTTAGAATTTAAGAGTGCTGAGTTGCGATGCAGGAGTCGTTGAGTAGTTTTGATAAGGAAACTCATAGTACTGGAGGATTAGGAGATCAAGATGCTCAAGAGGAACAGATGAGTTGGTTTAAAAGGGTTTACAGTTGGATTGTTGTTATTGATGGTGATGTGGATATTCTACGTGGGAGAGGTTACCATTATGTTCCTGAGGTTACTAATTATATGTTTTTCCTTGGTGGGAGATTCAGGACGGTCAAAACCAAGAAACATTTATCATTAATAGTGATGTTTTTAATAATTGCTCCGATGGTTCTGTTCTCTATCTTCGAGACTCACAAGTTATGGCATACCAAGTATGGGTACAAGCTATTAGTTATCTTTTTT